CCCTGGACACTCCTCAACCTCCTCCCTCTCCTCCGACTCCTCATCATCGTCATCCTCCTCCCCATCATCATCATCATCATCATCATCATCATCATCATCATCATCATCATCATCATCATCATCAGCAGCAGCAGCAGCAGCATCAGCAGCAGCATCACCATCATCATCACCATCATCATCACCATCATCGTCACCACCAACAACATCAGCATCATCATCCGTATCGTCATCATCAACATCATCATAATCAGCATCGTAAGTACCATAATCATCATCGTAATTATCAGCAGCAGCAGCATCAGCAGCATCATCGTCATCATGTCCAGCAGCATCATCATCATCCTCATCAGCAGCAGCATCATAATCGTCAGCACCAGTATCATTGCCAGCAGCACCAGCATCATCATCAGCAGCAGCATCATCATGTTCAGCATCATCTTCATCCTTATCATCACCACCATCATCATCCTCATCAGCAGCCGCAGCAGCAACAGCGTCATCATCATCATCAGCAAAAGCAGCAACATCAGCATCAGCATCATCATCAGCATTATCATCTTCATCGTCATCATCAGCATTGACATCATAATCGTCATCAGCACAACCATCATCAGCATCATCAGCGCCATCAGCATCATCCTCATCATCAGCATCACCGTCACCACCACCATAATCATCATCGGTAGCAGCATCAACATCAGCAGCAGCAGCACAACCTTGATCACAATCAGCAGCAGCAGCATCATCAATAGTATTACCATCATCGTCAGCATCATCACCAGCAGCAGCAGATTCAGCATCGTCAGCATCAGCATCATCGTCGTCGCCAGCACCATCACCATCATCTCATTACCAGCAGCAGCATGATTCCCATCAAGAGCATCGTCATCATCTTTGTCATCATCACCATCAGTATCGTCATCATCATAATCATCATCATCGCCATCATCGTCGTCACCATCGGCGTCACCATTGTCACAACCACCACCACCACCACCACCACCATCACCCAAATCACCGCAATAAGCCTCATCAGCAGCAGCATCAGCATCAGCAGCATCAGCATCATCGCAGACATCAGCATGATCATCATCACCATCACCTGCATCAGCACTGCCATCAGTACCATCATAAGCACCACCATCATCATCATCATCATCATCAGCAGCAGCATCATCATAAGCATCACCATCATCATCACCAGCATCATCATCATCATCACCATCATCACCACCATCATCGTCACCACCAACAACATCAGCATCATCATCCGTATCGTCATCATCAA